AGTACCTACTATTATCCATAGTAGGTAAGCTCAGGAAATGTTGGTTAAATGAACACACAGTGAAATGGATCAAGAACTGTCTGAATGGCAGAGCTTAAAGGATCATGATCAGCAGAGTAGAATCCAGGTGGAGGCCTATAGGCAGTGGAATTCCCCACAGATCAGTACTGGGTCCAGTCTTGTTCAGCTTGTTTGTCAGTTGTCTGGATGAAGGGATGGAATGCACCCGCAGCAGGTTTCCTAATGATACAAAACTGGGGGGAGTGGCTGATCCCCCTGAAAGCTGTGATGACATTTAGTGGGACCTTGGAGACCTGGGCACAGAGAAACCTGATGAGGTTCAATGAGGGCAAGTGTAGAATAACCCTGGGGAGGAATAACCCCAAGTACCAGCACAGGCTGGGGGCTGACCTGCTAGAGAGCACCAACTCTTTATATCTGTATGCATACCAGTGTGCATGTGCTATACCAAACGGGAGAGAAACACTACTCTCCTAGATTTTTAACTGCTTAAACTGTTTAACTTAAGTTACAAGTTAAGTTAAATGCTGTTAAGTACTGTTTCAAATGCTATTAAGTGCTATGGTATTCCCCTTTATTCTTCTCCTTTCTATCCTCAGTGTGCCTTGACCATCAACTAAGTAGTAGAGAGGACCTATAGAAGCTTTTATATTACACCTGTTTTCACTGATATTTTTGCCAGCGATTCTTTAAACAATCTTAAAACACTCATTCATTTCATGGGTGCAGGTGCAACCCTAGAATAGGTGAATGGATGCATGAGAAGTTACAACTTTTCAGAATTCTTTCTTAGTAACAGAAAAGGTATTAGGATAAAAAATTTATAATAGTCCAGTTTAGCTTCATTGTTTATTGTTTCCAATCAGGTGGTCTCTTTCCTGTGTTTCTTCAGCAAGGGTGTGAACACGGAATCGTACAGGGTACAAGAAGCTTCCAGGGCCTGCAAGTCAAACCTCCTGTGTGAAGCAGGTCCCTCCTGGAGCAGGTTGCCCCGTTGAGTTCTTAATGTTAATTCTTATGATTATTAATTTTAAATAGTCACTTGATGCAGCAAAGTGTGAAAGAAAACACTTTTAAATAGGTCCAGGTTTTAAAACCAGATAATTAGCAGAAAACCTGAGCAGAACATCCAACCTGTATCAACTGGAACTTTACAAAATAAGTAAGTAATTGTCTAGACTTCCAGCTGCCCTTGCTCATTTTGCCTGAACAAACTTTATAAAATTGTGCTCTTGGGGGAGATTTCCTAGAACAAAAAAACATGTTGGGGTTTTTTTTCACTGCAGAGAAAAACATTCATCTTTCTTTTCCAATCAAATAAATTTCTGGCAAGAATATTTTTTTCTCATGTTTTATAAGAGCACAGAAGACCAGATGAAATGGTTGAATATAATTGTTTTTCATCCGAAAACAATAGCTTGGAAAATGTAATGGCCATTTATAACTTCTGGTAAAAGTTGGTCTCAGTTTAAGACAATTTAAAAAGTATACATTCTGAAATGAATTACCTCCCCTCATAATTTTAACCAGTCCCTTTTGTTATAGATGACAATATAATATTGGCTTTTGCATTCATAGATTAGCTTTTTGCATCACAAGTATTTTGATATGGTACAATTTATACTTACTTTTAGCTGCTTTTTATAGTATAATCTGTCAGTTTATGTATACACTGTATAGTTCATGTGAATAGTAGAATGATAAATATGTTGTATGTTTTAGCAAAACGTTAAAATAGAGACTAAAATGCCTCTATGTAACCAACTGAGAGAATGGTGTAAAGCAATTATTTTTCTTACATCTATGGACTGGCCTCTCCAAGTGATAAGTTAACAGTGACAGAAACCAGAGCATAAGCATCCAGGAAGGATTTATCGACTCCTCGCTATCAGGGAGTGTGGAACAACAGGATAGAATTAAAGCAGGAAATAAAATATATTGAGCTAATCTACAGAATGTCCTGCAGACAAGTCAGAGGTTAAGAAAACAGACAAGAGAGATCTTGAAACATCAAAAACTCAAAGGAATGTTTAAATAATATATAAACTCATGAATATGCATTTACCCCCAGAAATGTAACTGCATATAAAGAACTGATGTTTTAAGTTGATGGTGTGTTCTTTGGCTAATCGCCAAAAACACCCCAGGGCTGGATATTTGGCTCTTATTAAACTTCTAAAAATTCTAAAGCATGAACTTTGTTTTTCACACTTTCCACCATAAGGATGTGATAATTGATAAAAGATTCTTGTTAATCACAAAAGCATTGGGGTTTGTATAAACCAGAATACTAACTCTGAAGTGAAGCATGGACACTAGATAAAGGAAATTATATGATAAAATCATTCTGTTAAAATTCACCTTCTTATGGTATATTATGTTATGTTACATTATATTATGTTATGTTATGTTTTCCAAATAAGTTGCATCTACTACCAGCTTGCAAAATCAGACTTCCCAATAGCCCTTCCTGCCTTTGTCTGATCAATACTGCTTATCTCAAAGCCAGACTTCCAGAACTTCTCTGGTGGTTATCCAAGGACCAGATGGTTATCTGTGAAACTGACTATTGCTGGAGATTTTGTGGATTGGGATAAGGATGTTTATTCGACCACCACTGCTTACCTGGCAAAATTATGACAACAAAAAACCAAAAATTATTGATTACAACGAGAAACCACAGTATAAGAAGAGGCTGCAAACCAAGGTTCAGTGGAGCGTGGTGTGGGCGGTGACCCCTCACGTTCCCCAGCGCGCTGCTTGCTTTGTCCATATCAAATAAAGCAATCTAAATTTTGCTGAATATCGAGACTTTTGTCTCTCATTTATAACAAGGAGAAACGAATATGAGTAGGTGTAAGTAGTAGATGTAAGAAAACATAACAGTTTATTATCATGGAAAACAGCAACAGGCAAAAAATAACAGATACAAAACTGCTAAATCTCACTGGCCCTCCCAGAAAAAAAGAGAAATTTAAAATGGTGCCCCTCCAGAATGGCGGCCCCACACAGACGGCAATGCGGTTTGAAAGACAAGGGAAGCTGGTGACTAACCCCTTCTGGGAAGGTGGGAGCTGACAAGGCACTTCTGATGGCAGACAGAAATCGCGGGCATCGCTGGGGTGTGACTCTGGCCCTGGCTCTGCCTCGTTGGGTGTTGCTGCTGCTGCTGTCTCTTTGTCTCTTGTCATCCACGGGACTCCTCTGGCATTGGTGCTGCTATTCCTGAGCCATGGGAGCAGCAGGGAAGAAACGTCTCTCAGCGCTGACATGCAATGACCCGACCCTGACTGGCTCAAGCTTTGCACAGTCGGCAAGTGCTGCAAAATTCACTCTGAAACAGGTTCTGGTTGTAAAGTGCAGCTTTTTGGGTTCCCTATGTTGTGAGCCCAGAAAACCCACCTGAAACAGCATCTACCTTGAGCAAATGCCACGAGGGAAAAGAGCACTTGACTTGGGTGGTTCAATATTTTTAAGCCATTTCATTTCTGGCTGTGACACTGGGCCTTAAAGTGTCAGGAACAAATTTGGGCACAGGTAGATATAGAATCCAGTAACATTTTGGGTTACCCAGGACAGAGTATAGCACAAATGTTTTTAAAGTCTCAGGCAGGAATTCCCTACTTTTAAATTCCTGTTGGAATATGGCCATATTTCTCACTTTTTTTTTTTTTTTTTTTTTTTTTTTTGCTAAAGTTGCTTCTTAAGGCCAAGTCTATTTTATCAGTCATTATCTTTTCATGTGTTCTGGCTGCAATGCTGACCATATTGAAGTTGACCCTACTGACTTAACTTCAGTTAATAGACACAAGATTTCAGCATATATATTTATAAAACACTTCTTCACAGTACCCTCAAAAGTTTCCAACTTTTCCTACCCGTCTCTTGAGCTTACCATAATTTATTACCATTTATTTCCTTCGTGACACACCTTATAAACCTTTGCAGCCTCATTCAGAAGTCTTCAAAAGACTTCTAATATTTTTAATTGGCTTCCTAGAAAAGCAAGGCTTATGTAGTTATGCTGCCTGTTCCTCTGTTTGCTCATTCCATTGTCTTTGATCCTGTTTTTCAATTTCAGTCAAATCTGAAGGAAAATAGAGGTCTCACAGACATAACATCCATTCAAGTGGAGTAGAAACACACACTTCAATGCCTGAAAGTAAAGGGTTCTGTTCATGTAGCTAGAGAACCTTGTCCTTGGCCTGAAACAAGGCTCTGTGTCTTATGCAGGGCAGTTCAATGCCGTGGGACAGGGTGGTACTTTGGGAGCATTACCTGGGCACAGGTTGTTTGGGAAGGTGGGAATGCAGCCAGCCACTGTCCACAGCCTCCAGAACAATTTGCTGTTGCTGTAAGGGTGGCAGCTTGTTTTGACAAGCTCAGGGCCTACAAACAAGAATGGTGATGACGGGTGTTTTAGGGCTGACTGTGCTCTCCCACATGGGAACAATTGTCCCTGTGTAGCCTGAGGGGCTGAGGACTGCCACACAGCGAGGGCTCAGGGACGTGGCTCAAGGCCGAGCACTCGCCGCCCTGCCGGCAGGTGTGGGCCCCAGGGCGGCTCGGAGCCCTCCCCGCCCCGCCGAGCGCTCCTTCAGCCGCTGCCGCTGCGAGCCCGCCAGGGTCCGCACCTTCTCCCAGGCTACCTGCCACGGGGCGAGAGGACGCAGCCTCCAGCTGGGCCCAGCGAGGTTAAGCTGGACCTAAGGAGGAATTTCTTCACAGAAAGGGCGATTAAACGTTAGAATGGACTACCCGAGGAGGTGCTAGAATCACCGTCTCTGGGGGTGTTTAAGGAAAGACTGGACGTGACACTCCAGTGCCATAGTCTAATTGATATGCTGATGCCCGATGACGGGCTGGAACACGATGATCCCAGATGTCTTTCTCCATCGAGTTCCTTCCGTGACTCCGCGGGTTCGCGCTGCCCTGGCTTGGCCCCGCCAGGCCACCGTCGGGGGCGGGCCCAGGCCGCAGCTATGGCGGCGCCCGTCGTGCCGGAGAGCGACAGGTACCGGCGCTCCGGCGGTGCCGCCCCCGCCGGGCCGCGCTGCACCGACCAGCCGGGCCGGGGCGGGGAGGGGCGGAGCAGGTCCTACCATGGTGCCGGAGCGCAGCGGGGCCAAGGCCCCTCTGACCCCCCTCCCTTCTTTCTCCCAGCATCCGCAAGGCCGTGTCGCTGCTCAACGCCGTGGACCCGGGCCGGTTTCCGCGGCTCCTCTCCCGCCTTCTCCAGAAGCTGCACCTGAAGGTTGGCGGGGCGCGGGGAGCCGGCTGGGGGTCGTGTCACGCTGGGCTGGGCTGGGCGGGGCGGGAGCGGGGTCTCGGCGGTGCTGGGAGGACGCGGGGCCGGGCCCAGATGGAGCTTGGGCAGTGCGGTTGCGGAGCCTGAACATCCCTCCCTCTCCTCCCTCCCCTCGACCCTTCTTAAAGATTTTAGAGCTTAATTTCATTCATCACTAGTTCTTCAGAACTGTATCGGGGGGGATGAAATAAAAGCCAGTAACGAATGGCATGATAAGGAGTGGTGCTTGTTGTAGCCCGCTGCCTCCAGATGCTGGTGCCTCCGAAAGCGCTGTCAGGAGACACGCGAGTTGCTTGGCCTTTTACACAAACTCCTCCTCTGCCCTCACGAATGTTGTCCGCAAAAACCAGCTTTGCTATCCGGTTTGCAAAAAGGCAGTGATCACACACTCGAGCGTGACATTGGTTATTTATTTCAGAATTGTGCAGGCCCGATTTTCAGTGATATTCCCCAAGTCAAGCATACCAACCATCAAAACTTTTTCCTATTTATACATTTTAGCAAACAAAGGCTTTAGTGTTCATTGGTAACAAGTTGCATAGTTCTTATTAGTTGGTATTCTGTCTTTTACTGGTTAATGATTCTCTTGCTTCCCATGCTAATTAGTCTGCGTGCTCAGTCTTTCTCTGGTTTTGAGTCAGTGGGTTTCTTGGCTCGGTGGTTGTGAGCTGGTGGTCGCAGATTCCCCTGCAGGAATTACCTTTCATCCAGTCAGAGCTGACTCCAGCACAGTTGCTGAGTTGGCTTTAACCATTTCTCTCTTATCTTGGGAGTCCTGCCAAATGTCCTTGAGGCCTATAAATTCTGTGTTCTTTTTGTTCACTATCAGTGGTACATCCTTCTTCCCAAATTTTGTTAACCTCCCCCTAGGTCCGAGGTCACTGACGCATGTCAAGCCCTAAACCTTAACGAGGCAATTCTTCCAACAATTACACTTAGAGCTTGTTAGCTGCTCTCTGTTTCATGGGTTCATTCACCTTTCTCATTAATTAGACTTCAAAGTGTACAAGGATCAAACATCAAAGAAGAGCCTTTCCCAAAATAATGTTACATGGTCGGCATTTTACGATACAAAGGAGATGCTAAATGGGTGTTTTATTTATTTTTCTGCATTTGTGCATGTTCATCAACTAAAGACACCTGTGGAATTGAGATTATTTAATTGAAATTAAACCCAAATATTTTAGTGAATATTTCTGTTGCCTTTGCAGAAGATGTTGTTGATTGCAGAATGAAAAAAAAAGTAAATCAGTAGTCAGTTTCATTTCACAGTGCTCAAATGTCAAATGCTGGCTAACTCTGAACTTTGTACTAAATATTGCAGGGGAAACTGTAAAATGAATCTTACACCAGAAATTATTTTGTTAGGTTCATTGTCTTACAGTGCCAGATTTTGTTTATTCCATTGTTTTGTGTTTAGAAAAAGTATAAAAAGAAACACAGAATTTGTTTCCTATATGCATATACATACAGACTAAATGGTAGAATATCATAGGAACAGCATGGAAAAAATGTCAATATATTAAGGAGTATAAGTGTGAAACTGTAAGGACTCATTTGATTCAACTGTTTTGTTTTTTTTCTTCTGTTAACATCACTAGCTTAGATGCTGCTGTTGCTGCAGAGAGTTTTCTCAGTTGTTTTGCATGGACATTAACTGTTTGGTAACTGGAATGTATCATCAAATTTTTTGTTAGTATGGTTTGTTCTTTTTTACTACTCCATAGCATTTTAGTAACTCTTCACAGTTTTAATTGGTATTTACCGGAGTGAAAGTGGTTATTGTAATTCAGCCCACTCAATCTCATGAATAGTTTTACTTTCTAAAGTACCTAAATAAGTAACTAGTTAAATTGCTGGAAGCTTGAAATGAACTTCATTGCCTTAACAAAGCAGACATTGGGAACTCTGTGTTTCCTTTTAAAAAGTAATGATTCAAATAATGTTTCCATTTTGATACTCTTGTTATAAGCGTGATCATTGGAAGTTTTGTGTAATTGCCTCATTCTTTAATTTGGACAGCTAAATTGTTTTGCTTGTCTAGCTTTGCAGTTTTGGATTACTAAGTGGTCTAAATGTGGTGTTTGTTAGTAATTGGGTTTTAAAAGAAGGCAATATCTTCATTTTAAATTACTTTTTAATTTGCTGTAGTATAATAAGTACAATGGCTGTTATTTTAAAAGTACAGCACATTCTCAATTGTCTTCAGTAACACAGTAGGCTATAGATTCAAATTTGACTTTCAAAATAAATATACTTTAGGCTTTTATTTTCTTTGCAATAGCATAGGTGACTTTTAGAAGGGTATCCAGAATGGAAGAAACATACATAATTAACTTAACTACAGTTTTGCATTCTGTTTTCTGAGGTGTGATTTAAGTAATGCACTTTGTATTTGCCTTGTTTTATTTGTAAAAGGTTGTGAAGATGATATGATAATTGAAAGAAGAATATTTCTGTAGTGTCTGTGACGTACAAAGGGAAAGCTTTTTTCCTGATGCATGTAATCCTGTGATACTTTGTTGGCTTTTAATTTTGATTTTATGTGAGAGGAATTGCATTTGCTTTGTAATTTCTGTTTAGAAACAACTGGATAGCTACTGCGTTTATAAAGATGAGGAGAAAGTTTTTTATTTTGATAAGTATGTTCTTGGTCCTTAAATGAAATGTCAGGACTAAACATTTTTGTGCTTCAGGCTGAAAGTATCTTCAGTGAAGAGGAGGAAGAAAAACTTCAAATAGCTTTTTCATTGGAAAAACAGGATCTTCATCTGGTTCTTGAAACGATATCATTCATTTTGGAACAGGTATTTTGTTTTCACCATTAGGCATTAATAATTTTTTTTTTAATCCAGCTATAGATTTCAAAAGTAGGACAGTGAAGTTAAAAAGGAATTAGTGAAAATATATCTGAAGTATATTTTGTATGTTTTGGGGTTATGGTTTAACTACTTTCTGTTTCATGCCTGCCTGATTTGGATGGTACTATGTGCCTTTGTGCTGTGCTTTTTCAGCTAATGTAAATCTTAATAGTAGAAGTGAGGCCTCCATGACTCTAGGGGAACTCTTGATAATTATGAGATACAGAATATTCTCTTATTCATTATATCAAGCCAGCCATGCATTTTTAAAGTTCTTCTGAGGAAAATCCTAGGTAACATTACTGAGCGCAGCTTAAGTTACTTTAAGAGTCAGTTATGGAAAATTTTCATGCAAAGAAGCAGTCTGTACTAAGGTGAACAGGCACAACTAATACAGCTCAAGTATTTGGAGGAGTGGATGACTGCATGATGTAGCATGGTTCAGTCATCTTGTAAACAGAGAAGGTTTTCTGATTCTGTGGTCTACCTCTGCTAAAGTTGGGAAGCTGTTGAATGTGTTGAATACCTGGTGAATATGGTAACTTTTAAAAATTGTTAAGCACATGATGCTATCCGTCCATTTTATGCAAATATCGAAAGTGGAATCTTGTGCAAGGGAATCTTGTGCATAGTTATGGTCTTTTGGTGTATTTAAATCTGGTCCTTTCTTACACATGTCAATTTATGATCAGTGAACTTAATTAACACTTTCCCCTGCATTAGGAGTAAAACAAGAAGTCTTCCGTGTAGCTCCCGTCCACCAAAAAATCAAAATGAAATCTGAGGTCACCTGCGGACTGGAAATTTTAACTTTCATCTCAGCAAAATAGCAAAATTACCTGTTTACTGCCTTGTCCTGATTTCCGCAGACTGCTTAATTTATATTATAATTGCTGAAGATGAACAGAAAAAACAGTTAATTCTCTGCTTGCTTATTTTGCATTAAAAAAAAAAGAGGGGAGGATATTACTATCTGCCAAAAAAAAAGAGTCCCAGATGGATTACATGTTGTATGAGAACTTTTTGTTTTCCTGCTAATAGCTGTGCGTCTTGGAGCAGCTGCTTGTTCTGTCAGATAATAATTGTTTTAACAGCCCTTTGGTCTGTGGAGGGATTGTAGGTAAAAAGACTGCCATACAGTCTTTGCCACATACATTGTTGCTTTTTTTAACCTGACCTGGAGGTGACACAGTTCTGTTTTAAAAGTGAAGAACCGTAGGGAGTGTCTTCTACAAAAAAACTGGTGTTACTAGGGAGGTAATACCTAACTCACTAACAGTTTAGTCAAACTATTCTTGTTTTTTCAGAATATTACCTTGTAGTTTAGGTTTGCTTGAATAGTGTGAATATGGAGAAGTTCTCCTTTCTTGATGGTCACAATTGGCTTCAAAGCCCATCTTTTTTTCATTGTTAGCTGCTTTGCCTTTATGTACAGTGGAAACCTGTACATATACTCATATCTGTGTTATGTCTACATTTTTTTGGTAGTTTGTCTATTCTGAGAAGAGTAATTTGTAACACTGTATTTTGAGATAGTTACAGTTTTCCATCTACCAAGAGGGTTCAGATGAACAGGATGCATATAGTTCCCCTAGCAAAGTTACTAGTAAAAATCTTGCCTGAGTGAACACAGTGGCCATTTGTGCTAGAGCGTATCTGCTATGGCTTGTATCTGTTATGTCTTAGCAACAGCAGTTATTTTTCCTTTAACAGGCAGTCTATCACAATTTGAAGCCTGCTTCGTTGCAACAGCAGCTACAGAGCATTCACCTGGATCAAGACAAAGCCGAAGCATTTGCTAGTGCATGGGCTGCTGCGGGTCAAGATACGATTGAAAAGTTCAGGCAGAGGGTTTTGACCCCTCAGAAGGTAATATGTGTGGTTTTTCTTCAGAGAGAGAATAAAGTTGTGTTAGTTAGGTTTAATGCAAGGAGTTTAAACTAAGGTGTGACGTTTGTGACAAGCCAGGTCACTTACAGGTAGTACATAAATTTGATTGAGACAGTTGAATTCTGTTGTCTTTATGAGATGTTGCATGTTAGCTGAGCTGCTGTAACTGCTGGCATCCGGCTGTTTGTAGCAACCTGCATGCTGTTTGTGAACAGGCTTTGCAGCATGGCCAGGGAACAATGTGTTAATGAGCATTTGTGGTGATTGAGCTTATCAGGCTGGTCATTCTCTGCACTTGTACCTGAGCTCCTGCCATCTTTAATTTAGTAAGCTGGTAAGGCAGTGAATTTTCCGAGATAGTTATTGGAGTTTTGTGGTGTTTTTCTATGATGGCACATAATCTTGTTTCCTGTATGCCTATTGCCACTTAAAACTTGCTTCGTGCTTCAGAAGTCTCATTGTATCTATAGACAATATCGATATCTATGACAAGGTATAATAATATCATTTTGTTGATTCATAATAACCCTTCAAATGCATAAGGAATTGTAAGTAGAACACACCAGTGTCAGCTGGATCAAATTTTTAGAAAGAATTGTGAAACATGACTCAATTATTGTTATTTTATTTTTAACATTGCTTCATGTCTTGTTGGGATAAGAATCAATTTGCTAATTAATTAATTAATTAATTGGTAAGATAAATAGAGAAAATAAATCGTATATATTAAGTATACATGATGCACAGAGAGAACTAGAACAATATAATTTTTACCAGCCTGCTTGCTCCTAAATAAATCCAGAATTTCACTTAGGTGTAAAATTCTCATTTTGAGAAGATGAGGTATATCTATGGAACAGACTAAAGATACTCTGAATTGCATCACATTGATTTTTTTCAAAGTATTTAAACTTGATCCTTTGTAAAACTGGGTAATTTTAGACACAAAACTTACAGGATTCTGATATGCAAAATTATAATAATTCATTAATTTAACAGAGTAAATGACTGATAGTATAATCATGGAAAAAAATCAGCAAGATATTTTGGGTTTCTGGGTTTTTTTTAAATAATGTTACTAATGCCAAGTACAAGTCCCAAAATTTAAATTGTTAGTGGTACAGTAAGGCATGTATGATTGTCCATTCAAGGAGGTAAGTAATTTGAAAACCAAGTGAAATAATGAAAAGTAAACTTTTCGACATACAGAGTGTATGTGCAAACTGGAAGGCAGTTCTGAAGATAGCCTACAAAGCAGATGTCTTTAAATATTTTCTTCAGGCAGGCTATGCATTAATGCATATTTTACTGCTGGCTCCTCAGCATATGAGAAACTAATAAAAACACCTTTCATCCTCTTTCATTTTCAGCTTATACCATACATACCTGTGGTCCTTCTGTGACCTGATGTGGGAATGAAATTGCTCTTTTACTTGTCTCAACTTTTGTGAGCCCTGCAACATACAATGTTTCTGGTGTATGTTACAGTTTTGGAGGTTCTTTCTAACTTCAGCATCTGGTGAATGAAGTGGTATTTTCCTCCTATGTTGTATCCCATATAAAGAAGTTTTAAACTGTCATTTTTAATTGAGGTTGTGGGAAAGCAACTGCAGAAATATTGTAGTACCATTTACTTGTATTTTAGTGGGAAAGCAGGTTTAAATACAGGAGCAGGTTGCCCAGACAGGTTGTGGATGCCCTGTCATTGGAAGTGTTCCAAAGATTGGGTGGGGCATTGATCAGCATGGCCTGGTGATTGACATGTTCCCAGCCCATGATGGTTTTCAGAGGTCCCTTCCAATCCAAACTGTTCTATGAATCTATGAATGCTAGTTGTTGGTTGTTTTCTCTTTTCTCTTTCATGTTCTTTTAAAAATATATGCAGGCTTTTTGGTTATCATTGCATATTTTTTAGGGATTGTTACTGGCTTGTTGAGGTGATGTGCAGCACTACCTATGAATTAAAAATTTAGTTCATATGTGATTCTTTCGTACTTTTGGTTACCATGTGCTTCCTGCACATTAGTAACTATGAATTTTCTTTAAAGGATCTTTAGTGTAAAGGGATTGCTTGTGTGGATCCAAATGCAGAATCAGGGTCATGATTAACATTACTGAGGTCTTGACAGTTCTGTTCCAACACATACACAGTGTCCCTGCACACATTCACAAGACAGAGTTTATAATGTAACTAAGAAAGAACTATTTGGAATTTTATATTGTGTTTTATTAAAATGTGTGTGGCAAAATTATTCTAAGTCTTTCCTGACATGGTACTTTGAGGTTGTCTGTTTCAAAATTATTGAAATGCTGACAGTACAGTATTTTCTGTCATGTGCACAAGAAGGAGCAGTAATCTTCCATTTCTGTTTCAAAACAATAGAAAATGGCGGACAGTTTTGGTTTTTTTTAATTCGGTTTATGGTTTACACAGTAAGAAAACATTGGAACTTGCGGGATTGATTAGCTTATGGTCAAAACAATTGGGTAACTGCGTGTCCAAGTTTGTTATTTCATAATAAAGCTAAAATGTTTGGCTTCTGCCATTTTTGAAAGTAGGCCAGTGCATCTTTTGGCTTGAAGAAGTGTTCAGGTTTGGACTCAAGACCACTAGTTATTATGAGAAATAATTACTTATAGATAATTTGTATTGACGTGTTATTTCTCTTAAAACCTGATTATTTTCCTCCCTGCAAAGTACAAGTTGTTAAAAAGTAGTATTCGGAGTTCTGGGTCTGTCAGTTCTGTGCAAGAGGTATAGGTGGTCATGTAATGTGCTGGTTGATACCTTCATTAGAATGACAAATCAAATTGTGTTTGTTAGAGTAACAAAATAAGTAATTCCTAGAATACTGATTTGGTGGCATATTGAACACGATTTCTAATTGTTTGAGAAAAACTATTCTTTTTTGAACATAGGTTTTTGAATATTTTTGTGCAGACTGCTTAGTAGATAGGGATGTTATTGACTTGAGATTAATAAAAACTGTGGAGTTGAAACAAAGCTGTACTGTTTAATACTCTTTCTTTATATTTTCATTTTTCTTCACTGGATTGTTGGCAGTCTTCAGCTGCACAGTTATTAATTGTATATATTCTGCTGTTGCATTAATTGATTCGTTGGTCCTTACTCATATGGCAGTGGCTTTATTATATTATTTCTGCTGATGATAATACAATCCTAGTAAATTAAAACGATGGTATTTTTATAAATTTTTCCTTTGAACACATTCTTAATCTGGCCTTTAGATTGATAGGCCAATGGTAATAGTTTGATATTAATCTGATCCAGTTTTTTTAGTCTTTTCTTGGTAATGTATAAGTTTAGAAATGAGGGCACACTGATCAGATTAAATGTATTTTTTCCTCCTGCAAAGAACTGTATTTTTGATAGGGTTCACTCTGAATTCTTATGGCAGTTTTACATCAGTTTTGTTGCTTTTCTCCACTTCTCCTCCCCCTAATATTATATTCTCTCTATGTGTTATGTATTCTGCGTAAATCTCTGTTTTAAAGGCAGATCAAGCTAAGTGCTTCATAGCTTTCTAGTTTTGGAAAACTATTCAGGGTATCCTTAAAATATATATAATGAAAAAGAAAGAAGTCCTATGTTGCCAAGCAAGAGGAGTTTTTTATAGCTTTCAGACAGCATTGCTTAATATAATGATGCGTGGGAATGCAACTAGTGAAGTTATGTACCTAAAATTCTTGACAGAGCTGTCAGTTCTGTATCTTGAGTGCCTATTTGAAGCCATATGGGAAAAACTCTGAAAGTGATTTTCTCAGAAACTGGCCTTCTTGCTAATGGGTGTATATGTAATGTTAATATGCTAAATTCCCTCTGCTAAATGCTGGCACATCTACAGAAATACTCTGAAACACATGCATCCTGTGGTTATGCAAGAAGTAAAAAGAATTGGCGTGCTGTGTGTGTATGTTGTGGCAGAATTATTTTTTTCTGGTATCAGAAGAATGCAAAATAAGGAGGAATACTGCTCAAACTGTAAAAAAGAATTTTACGGTTTCTTGTTATTATCTGATCAACTAATTGTATTTAAAATGACAAGCTGTAAGAACCAAAACCAGTGTTGTACCTACGGGCATTGTCACAGTGAATTGTGAACCAGCTTGCATTATGTGATGCCTGTACACTCACAGAGACAAAGAGACTGCAAATGATGAAATACTAATACCAGTGAGATTATTTGAATCACCTGCTACAGCACAGCTGAGTCTTATTCTTTCACTCACTGAGCTTTGTTAGTGGAATTTTAATTGTTTACAGTTTTTAGGTACTACTTCTTAAAAGATTTTTTTAATAAGTTGCTTCCTATTCTTGCCCTCTTCTGTCTTTTACCAAGAAAGTATAAGTTACGAAGTTGGAAGAAGGTACATTTTGAGAATGTTTAGAAAGATTTATAAGTTTTGTTCTGTTCCCACATGCAAAATAGCATTTTAAAAGGTTATGACTATGAGTACTGTCTTTGTCTTGTGTAACTTCCTGTGTAATACAAACCATAATTTTTCCTCAATATGTAAAAGAGCCTCAGGAACGCGGGTCTGGTTGTGAATTCAAGGCTTGAAATGACAGGTAACTTCTGGGTTGTTCTTTTGGTTTTTTTTGTTGTGGTTACTAAAAATGTTTCCCTTATCTCTAATTAAAAATAGTCCAACTTAATCTTTCCTCCACTGGATCTTGTTATATTTTCTGCTAGATAAACGCACCAGTCAGCCATGACTTAATGAAAGTAGTCATAGACTGGTGTGCATTTTTACTGCAACTCTATGCCCACAAATTTGCCATAGATGGAGCACAACAGCATATTTACCTTTGGCACAAAGTGAACCCCTAAATGCTATGGGTTTTGAAACTGGAATGCTGTTTCTAGTGTTTGTCACAGAGACTCTTTCTGTTTGCTTTCAAGCTAGCTGTTTGTCAGTAAAAGTCAGTTAAAGATGAAAACTTGCAGTGACTTCAA